ACCACCACGCGCATGCCTCGCGGCGGATATGCGCAGCAGCAAGAAGGTTTCGGTCATCCCTTGAGGGTGAGTCTAGCCCTGCTCGCCAGAAAGACCCCCCCCTTCACTACAACCCATGTCTAAGCAAAAGCTTGTCGAGGAGCGAGGGGAAGAAGGGTTGCACTAGAGCAATGTCCAACACTACGGCGTACCACGTCGGGAGTTTCTCTTTGTGGTCCTGCCAGAACTGCCAAAAATCGTAGTCTTCGTCCGTCACGCGGGCGGCGACAAAGTAGTCGTCTTTTTCAGTGAGAAGCTTGTCGACTTGTTCCTCCGAGATGAAGGGGAAGACGGCGAGGCTGCGGACTTCGTTGGCGCTGTACTTGTGACGTTGCATGAAGGTGAAGTTGATGAGCCGCGCGGCCTCCATATACTTGAGCACTGGCGCCCGCTCAGCCCCCTCGTGAGGGCCGATCTGATCGTATGCGCAAGTGCGCAGAGGGATGAGGTCTTCTTGGAACTCAGCCTTGAGAAGGTCGGCGGTGGCTCCCTACGTGTTGAGCGAGAGTGAGAGGAGCCGGGAGGAAGGAGGGACGGGACAGGGTCAAGGGTTGTGAGTGGATGAAAACGTGCGATTCTGTTCGATATACACTACACGGTTGTCAGGTGGTCGCAAAGTGTACATGACCGCTGGAGTAAAATTTATTTACTTACGAAGTCGTCTCCCTGGCCAATGCCGGCGGCGATGACAGCGTCCAGAGTAGGCAAAGCCACGTCCTCCTTGAAGAGCCCATCCTCGCCTAGCTCGAGCTGGGCCCGGAAGTTCTCGATTTTGCTGAACGCTTGGTGCAGCTGCAAACAAAGGAAACGCGTAGGACAAAGGACAAAGGCCATAAAATAAACGGCAAAGTTCTCGGTAAACTAAAGTACGTATGCTTGTGAGCATACGCATATCCACCCCTACTTAGAGGAACCAGACAGACAATGTACTTACCAGTGACTCGCCGCCTTCCAGGAAGATGCAGGCAGCGGTGACGATCTTGCCCACGTCCACAAGTACAGCCAGCTGCATCCGAAGGACGAGGACCTGATCCTTCCCGTCGTCCCGCTTCCGAGCTAGCTCCGATCGCAGCCATGCCGCCGTCTTGGACTTGTTGTCGTCGTTACTCTTGTACGCCTCGATGAACTTCACAACAAGTGGCCAGTTCATGGCGATGAGGTAGTCGCGCTTGTACCTCGAACCCCACCGGTGGTTGGGAATTGGAGGATCTGTAACGCCGACGATTTCGCGGAAGAGGGTCTTGGCGTGCGGACTGTGCGAAAGCAGAGTGTGCAGCTTGCCCAAGAACTCGTCCAAGTGAAACTCAGTCGGGTCCCGATGTTGTTGAACAAGTGGGAGAAGCAGGGGATGCCCACCGACTTGCGGTAGATGTGCTGCGTGAGGGAGTCGAGAGCAAGCAGGTTGGCCGCGCAGCCGTCGAGCATGAAGCCGATGCAGCGTGACGCCCTCAGGTTAAACTCTTCGCCCAAGGTGTCGTTGACCTGGCCGACGATGTCTCGAGCC